TCTCCAAAGATTTCTGCGACGGCAGCACACGCGAACGCTCAGCACTGATCCATTGGGGTCGCAGGACAGTGAATACACCAGCCACAATATCAAACCCCTTTTCCTACTTCACTTTCCGCCTTTTAATGTAAAATGAAATTAAAGCCAGCATCATTTAAGCATTATAATTTGTCTGAAACCATAGAGACCTGGTGTTTTCCCTTTTAGTAATTCTGTATGTCAGCAGTTGTGTGAGGTACTTGCCTAATTTTCTGTGCTTGCCTTGATTGCAACATGCAAATGCGTTTGTGGGAAGAGTCAAGGCCATTGTCAAGAGTACAATTAGATAAAAATTTATTGAAGTTGGTACTAACTTTCGTCTGCCCTCGCATCAAATTTACCGGTAAGCACCCGGTTGTCAAGGCAAATGAACAGCCCATAGTGTAGAAGTGAGCCGAAAAAGGAGACTCAGGTTGACAGGAGACGGTGAGAGCTGGGCGAAACGAGGATGGGGCGAGGCTGGGATGAAGATTGGACGAAGACGAGGTAAGGACAGGACGAGGACCTTGTCTTTCAAAAGATTGACTCATTCACGGTGAAATACAGTTTCGACCTCTAAGGGTTTCAATTTCGCGTCGTAAGTATAGTGGGGACGTTACTACTCCACGACATGACCAAGAGTATCAGTGGGACAGAGAGCAGAGTCGACATTCAAGGAAAGTCATGAATTGCCTAAATTATATATAGTTTGAATCAGGAGATTGTAAATTTTTGAAAAAAGTATTTGCAGCGTATAATTGACGATGCTACTTATTTTGGTTATAAGTAGGTTTGTAAAACTGTCTGTACGAATGGAATATGAACTGAGTCGGTCTGGGTTGCTTAAGGTGATTTAAAAACTGATGTAGATACGAAGAGAAACTTGGTTTTGATGAATCTCCTGAGATAACTTTCATACGAAATGAAGGTCCCCCTAAAAATTGATGCTTGAGGCTTCCAACAACCAAACATCATCATTGAATTTCATCTAGCCTTGCTTCCAAAAGGGCTATCTCGTCTGGGCGGCCAGCATTTTCTACCGCATAAAGGCCTCATCTGCACCCGAAATGGGTTTCAATATCGGGTCGTATCATGGCGATGCTGCAACTACCATACACATATCTCATCGTGAGACAACTCAGCTATCAGTTCTTTAATCACCACATGCGACCTAGGTTGACCGATTTCTTATTTTTCACTCTCTGGTGGGATTGTTGATGAAGCAAAGCTATATTTGCCATGAGTTGTATCCATCATATTTCGTTTAAGGAGATGAAAGACTAGTAGTCGATTTTTCACACAATGATATGAGTAGAGCTGATGGTTCCATTGAATTTCTCCAAATGTGATCCCATACCGGCTGAAGTGGACTGCAGTTTCGACCTCGCCTAGTTCTTACCAATACCCCAAGCGGGAGTCGAACCGTGATAGTGCAGCGTGTAATCTCTACACTTTAGCCACTATACCACATTACCACGAGTGCTATTGGGCCACGGGGCAGATGTGAATTTCAAGGACTGTCAGGCATTTTCCATATCACATTCTGTGTTGGTATTGTCGATGAAGCAAACTTACATTTGCCATAACAATCTACGATATTACTTTCTAGTAAGTGAGTAGACTTTTGAGGCTACTAGAAAATCAAATATATGAGTTTTATTTGCTATGGCGATCTACTACATGAAGTATAACTTATAAAAACCGCATAACCGATTTCCTGGTTGTCACGAGGCCCTAGTTGTGAATGAAAAATAGGTAATTTAGTCGATTGTCATAGCAAATATAACTTGGCTTCATCGACAATGCCTTGTCTTCCTTGAAACTAACATCTACCCTATTGCCCAATGGCATTCGTGGTGATGTGGTGGGGTGGTTAATGTGTCGAGCTTACAATCTGCGCTGTCATGGTTCAACTCCCGCTTGGGGTGTTGGTAAGACGTATGCGAGGTCGAAACTGTAGTCCACAATGGATGCTAACACCTTTTGGGGAAGTAAGGCTATGTAAAATTCAATGGAAACGTTAGCTCTACTCATATAATTGTGGGAAAATTTAAATATCAGTCACTCGTCACCTTAAACAAAATAGGGTGAACACACCACATATAGTTGATTTCCACCCGTAGACTACTTGCTTCTAAAATAAGTAACCTCGTCTAACCAATAATCCCACCATAAAATTTGCTTTAGCTTGAATTTCACTTCTGCTCTGTAATCATCTGGCATCAGGGGCTGTGCGGTGGAGTTGTAACACTAGCACGATACTCACTACCCGGAAAAGAATAACATTTTGACTCTTGCTGCGGATGGAAATGATAATGAGGCAAGGCTGAAACCGTGCTCCTTCCTGGATGAAATAGCCATATGGGAAGCAGAGCTAAGTAAACTTCAATGTCATTGGTTGGCCTACATACTCATTTCATAAGAGTGGGAAAACGACCTATCAAATAATTAGTGAAAGTTTAGAATACTACTTACAACCGAAGTAAGTAGCATATATTTATGTCCAGCATAAATATAACCGAGACTAACAGTAACCGTGAGCAACGTGGGCGCAGATAAGCCGCGTTCTCAAGCCCTCGTGGCGATGATCAGAACGCAAAGTTGATAAGCTGACGCGATGACGACCAGCCATATTGGGGAGGCGGGTCAGAAAAGAAGTGGGAAGCAGGCGATTGGTTGAAGCATGAAAGTTGATCTCTCCTCAATTGGACGAAATGGCCGGTTGTACCAGCTGACTTAAGCACCAGCCCTCGAGGCATGGGAAGGAACTGCTGGCCAATTGACAAGCAGCACGGCAGCCAGACCTGTACCGAAATATCTGCGTGGGCCTAATCCAGCCATAGCTGGCTGGCCCGAGGTGGGGATGGGAGTTTGAGTGGGTTGTGTAGAAAAAATGGACGTCGAAGTGGGAGTCGCAGTGGTTGGGACGAGGGTAGGTGGGAAGAGAAGTGGGGATAGGAAATGAGTGGAAAGGGGGTCGAGACGATGTCCTGCCAATACAGGTCTATCATTTACAGCCTGGCTGAGGAAACAAAGAGATATTGACCATAGAACGTTGACGATTGACCATTAACTATTCACCATTGACTGTTTACCGGCCCATCTCACCACCGTCGTGGTTGCCAATGTCAGCAATGGGCCAGCTGCGGACGCGGGCGGAAATTGTAGATCTCGTCTGATTCAGTTTGGCCTTGGCAGGCCAGTTTGCCAAAGGTGTGTCTGATATGTGTTGGTAGGCTTCGGCTGACCATAGCCAAGCACATCCAGTTGCTGGTCTGTTAGTTGGTTGTCTGTTGGTTGTCAAGTTTACAACCCATCCGAAATGGTGTTGTCTGGCCCTCTTTTAGAGCCAATTTTATTTCCAATGCTTAGGTGAATGACAGAATAATGGAATTTATTATTATTATTTATTTATTTATTACTTGATCAAGTTCTTATGAGTCGTGGTAATTCAATCTGTTGCCTTGACAAAGTTGTGGTCTTTATTTGAGTGCAAATGAGAAGTGAACCGGCGACTCACTCATCCATGTTGGTGGTCTCTGTTTATACAGTATTGAGGGTGTGTATAATAGTGACAATTATTTGGGCTAATCGGTGCTGCGAGAGAGAATTTCTACTAAAAATGACCGAAAATTAAAAAGTGAAGACATTCAATAATTATTTTCATTTTACAAGCAGGTTTTCGAAACTACCATTGGATATGATATGAGAGCTGTATTCACCCTATTTCGTATAAGGTGATGAAAGACTGGTAGTTGAATTTTCCCACATTCTGATGAGTGGACTCATATTTCCACTGAATTTCACATAGCCTTGCACACCAAAAGGTATTGTCGTCCAGGGTCGACCTCAGTTTTGACTAATTCTAGGTCTCATCAGCACCACCAGCATGACATGAACCCTGGAAGTGCAGCGTACAATCCTGACACACTGACCACTACGCCACACTGCCACGGGTTCCTTTCGGCCACAGTGCAGAGGTGGATTTCACGGTCTAAACCTTTCCACATCACAATTTTTGGTGGGAATGTTGATTTGTTATGGCACCGACTACATTCATTGTTTTTCGTCTATAAGTAGGCTTTCGAGACTACCAATAGGTCATCCTGAATGCAGATTGAAGCCCAGCCTCTCTTCATTTCTTACATCTAATAACCAGTTTTGCTCGAAGTGAAAGAGGGGCCGCTGCTTTGTTGGCTTGTCATGTCCTCTCGAGGCGGACGAACGCGAGGCAGTCTTGAGAAGAGGTAATGCACTGGGCGACCGGAGAAGGTGGGCTTTG